CCCACGCTGGAGCAGGGGAAGAGCGTGATGAGCCCTCCCCCTGAGGAGGTGAAGCGGCAGAAAATAACATGTGATGACCGTAAACCCCATCCCTGTCCCCCTTGTGCCGCTGGGGGGGGCTTGGTGGAGAAATCCGGGAGGGAAGTTGTGCCCGGGAAGAAGGGAGGGGTGGAGGGAAGGTGTTCTGAGATTTCGTTTTATTTCTCATTTACCTTACTCTGGCTGATTTGTAATAAAAAGTGAGCTAATTTTCCCTAAGCTGAGTCTGTTTTGCCCGTGATGGTAATTAGTGAATGATCTCTCCTGTCCTTATCTCGACCCGCAAGCTTTTTTTGTTATATTTTTCTCTCCCCTGTCCAGCTGAGGATGGGGGAGTGATAGAACGGCTTTGGTGGGCACCTGGCGTCCAGCCAGGGTCAACCCATCACACTTATCTTGCCAACTACTGTTAGCCTGAAATTTTCCTCGTATGATCTATTGTGGTGGAATGATATTATTCAAGAAGCAGTAAAAAAACCCCAAACATTTAGAATCATTAAAAATCTATTTTAGGAGCTCAGTCCTGTATATAACATTCCTGTTGGCCTCCCTGTTTTATCTGTTGTTCAGCTGGAATGTCACACACTTTGGTCTTGAACCATCTGGTATCAAAACATTCCTTCTCAGGGATTGTAGTGAACGCCTAGTTAGCTCATTTTGTTTCAGTCAAAATCATAGTGAATGAAGTAGAAAGCATTTGATGCTAATTAGTAGCTTTCTGACAGTCCAGGGATATGATTAGTAGAGAGAGGACCTCAGATGTTTATTTTAAGAATTTGTTGCTCTAAATTAAAGTGAGGCTCTTCAGCAGGGCAGTCTGCCTGACAGCATGACAGTCAGTATCTTATTAAATGGATGTGTGTGTATTCAAATCTTTTTATGTTACTCATCTGACACCTCGCACAGGTATTAATTTTCACTTGAAAAGATCTACATTTGATTTTTAAAGTCAATATTAAGAATATTTTTCAAAATTTCTTTCTATTTTATTTAATTCTGGAGTACAACTAGAACTGTTCATAAAATAATGCCTTTGAAGAACATTGCCTAGGGAAAGATATTTCATTTAATGCCACAAATGATGCAAAGGACAGCAGAGCAGATTGGAGAACTTAAAAATGAGGAAAAAAATATGCCAGCAGAATAAATAGAGGCCTTTAAGCTATTAAAAAATAAGCATATATCATTCATTGCTGCAGATACATTCTGTTTGTGAGTATAAATTACCAGCCTCCAATATGGGGTAATTGTGAGCAAATGCTAGCTTCAATGCAACTCAATTTACCAGTTCTGTGTATAATTATTAACCTGGTGGAAAGGATGTGTAGCAAGTCAGAAGGGAAAGTGTTTGTTTGTTGTTTTTTTTTAAAGAAATATAGTCATCCTGGATCATAAACAAACTTGGAGTGGAAGTGACAGGGATGGAGTACTTGGTTCCTGGAGCCCTCATTCAGTGGATATACTTCCCCAGTGATATACTGCTCAGTGAAGAAAGGCAGTGGCAGCTGTGGCAGGGCACAATATAGATCTAAGTTGTTCACAGGAAATGCATGTCTCTAGTATTGTTAGTTCCTCTCTGTAATCTCAGTCTTCTGTCTGCCCCGTGGATTTCATGATGCCACTGGTTCTCCTGTCCAGACCTGGACAGTCCCTCCTTCTCTCTTGCTCTGTCTCTGCAATAGCAGACTGGAATGGAGGTTCATGCTGCTAAGAGCAGTATATGGGAATATATAATTATTTCAGAAATAACATGCAACACAGTGTGATTTAGTCATACTTTGACACACCTCTGTCTGCCAAGAAAAATGCAGGCACTACCTTATAGAACTGTTGCTAAGAGCACTTCTTCAGGCTCTAGGAGTGAGAAGATGCTTTATTGTATGGTTAACTGCAGGAATTAACAGCAGGGTTTCAATCTGGGACCTGCCAAGATATTAAAGCACACAAATCTGTTGCTTGAATTAAAGGCTGCGCTTCTGCCTAGGAGACGTAGCACCATGTGGAATTAGCCTGGGACATTATTTCGTAAATTGAAGACACTTTGAAAAGTGATTTTATTGACATTTGTAGCCTAAAAAACAATTCAAGAGGAGAAAGTTTTGGCCAGCACCAAGAAGAAATGTCTTTTGTTTGTTTTATGCTAAAGT